CCGCGAGACGCGACCTGCTGTTGGAGCGGGAGGGCCCCCCCCGCGCGCGGCGCGCGAGTCGGGGTCGAGAGCGCGCTGCTCGACCCGGGCGTCGCTGGAGGCCCTCTGAACCAGCGGGGCCGCGGGGGGTTCAGCCGGGCGGCCGTCGCGGAACGAGTGCGAGTTGGTCGCCGCTGGCGGAGGAAGCAGTCGTACTTGATGCTGAAGAAGGGGCACCTCCGCGCCGTCGTGATGCGCGATGCCCTCCAGCGGCGGCGCCGCCAACCCCTTCCGGGTAGACGTCCCCGCCCGGGGTGGGCACCCGCCGCGCTATGCCCCCGTTGGCGAGGGGCTCCCTTGCGCAGCCCTGCATCGCCTTCTCGGTCACAGGCTCGAGGATGACCCTCTCGCGCCGCGGGGGAGCTGGCGTCGGCGGCGGGTCTGGCTGGTGACGCAGGCTCACCTTGCGGCCTGGCTCGAGGGCGATGGCCGCCATCGAGATGCGCCTCCAAAAAACCGATCTCCAAACGACCGCCGCGCGCGACAGAGAGCGCAGCGGGCAAGCTTCCTCACCGGGTAGACGCCGACCACGCCAGTGAGCACTCCCACCCTGGGCGCGGCAGACGCGAAGAGCCGCGCCGAGTTTGCGCTCGTCGGGCAGGAGTAAGCGGCGGTGCCCAGCGCTCTCCTGCAAGCGGCGTCCACGGACAGGGCGTCCCAGTTGGAGGCCAGCCAGCCAGCGCCGGCCTGCGTGGGAGATGGGCAGCTCAAAGGAACGCGACTTGAGCCGCAAGGGTTACGGAACAAGTGGCACCTCGCAAAGCCTCGAGACCCAACTCTACAAGTTGCACAATGATAGTGATGATGCTGATGATGATGAAGGAGAGCATTGGTCGGCGCCGGCTGGGAAACGCGCGAAGGCACGGACGCGATCAGGCAAGAGATCAAGGGGGGCGGCAGGCGCGGTTGCCACCGGGAAGATACGACACGACACTCAGACCAAGTTCGCCACCGAACGCCCCGAAATCACCGCAAGTGAGACAGGCGCAGCAGCACCGGCGCAATATCTCATCGAAAACGAACGAATTCAAAGGCCTCGCCCGCGGTGGGCTGAACTCAACTCACCGCGCGAACAGACTTTGACTCCTGCCTGTCCCGCGCGGACGTGGCCTTGGCCGTTCCCAGGGGAATTTCCTTGAGATGGCGCATCGCGTCCGTGGGCGGCGACGGGCGCCCTGCGCCCGACGTGCACGGGCCACTCGTTGCCGCGGCGCGCGGTGGCATGGCCCACGCGGGCGCGCCCATCCAGCGCAGCTTCCCCCATGCCCGTCGCCGCGACCGCGCCCGAGAGTGGAGCGGGCGCGGGCTGGGGCTAGGTCTGGCGCGTCCTCCCACAGACGGATTCCGGAAGAATTACCCCAGCGCGACCCGACCTAGGAGTTGGAGCATCTGGGAAAGCAACATCTACATCTACACCGACAGCTATGCTATGCTATGCTATGATATGCGATGCTATGCTATGTTGCGCTATGTTATGATATGATATGCGCTGCTGCGTTATGCTATGCTATGCGAAGCTAGACCATGGTATGATGTGCTAGGCTGCGCTATGTTATGCTATAGTACGCTATGCTATGAGATGCTGCGCTATGCTTTGCTATGCTATGCGGTGATATACTGCGTTGTGATATGGCATGGTATGATGTGCCGCGCTATGCTATGCTATGATATGCTTTGTTATGCCATGATATGCCGTGCTATGATATGCTGCACTGTGTTATGTTCAGACAAGCTATGCTATGCTATGCTGCGCTATGCTATGTTATGCCATGCTAGGATATGTTGCACTATACTATGCGATACTGTGCTATGATATGGCATACTATGATGCGCTATGCTATGCTGCGCTATGCTATGTTATGCTACGCTATGATGTGCGATGGTATGCTATGCTATGCTATGGTAATGCTGCGCTGCGCTGCGCTAAGCTAAGCTGAGCTAAGCCAAGCTAAGCGAAGCTAGGCTAGGCTAAGCTAAGCGATGCTAAGCTAGGCTAGGCTAAGCTACGCCAAGCTCAACTCAGCTAAGCTAGGCCAAGCTAAGATGAGATACGCAACGCTCAGCTAAGGGAGCGCAGCTGGGGGAACCGCGGGGCGGATCCTGGGGGAACCGCCCGGGGCGCATTCCACTGCGGGTCCTTTTAAGCTAAGAGGGTAAGAACCCTTCCAGGCAGAGCCTAGGCAGGGAAAAATCAAACGTAGCCAAAGCACGCAGGAAAATAACAAGAGATTATCCAAACATCGCCCCCGTACTATTTCCCTTTTTTTGCATATTCCCCCTGTGGAGGGACATGTCCGATCTAAACCTTGTGGGGGATCTCGCTCGTAAGCGGCGGCCGCGCCGACGTCCGCGGCCCCGGCCGCCGCGGGCCCAGCGCGGCCCCCGACCTCGCAGAGCCCCCCCATCCAGAGCGCCGCGCGCGATGGGCAGCGACACCTCGGCAGGCCGCTGCGCTCCAGCGCGAGCGTGCTCGGCGCTCCAGCGCCGAGAAGTCACCGCGGGCAGCGAGCGTCGCCCGTGCGCGCGTCCACTACAGACGCGTGCTCGTGCAACGTCATCCGAGGACGGGAAGGCCCCCCCGCGGAATGCGCGCGCCGCGCCGCGTTGACTAGCCGCTGCAGACGCTCGATGAAACAACTCTCAAATCCCCGCCTTCTCCACAACTTGGCTCAAGGCTGCCAGCTGCAACCCGGCCGCAATCCTTTCGAGATGCTCTTTGCGCGCCTTGCTCGAAGCCAGCGAGCCCCTGCAAAGCCCGCCGAAGGGGCGCGCCAGCTTTTCCGCGACAGCCCCGCAGAGGCCGCACATCCACTCGGCGACGATGGAGTGAGGAGCACAAGCGTGGGCATTGTAGGGCCTGCGTTCGCAGCAGACAAGGCGGACGGGCCCTCTCAGCCCGCGCCGTGCCCCGCGTCGACCTCGTCGGACTCGTCCCCTGGGCTCGCCGCCGCCAGGGCCGCCGCGCGCCCGAGCTGGCGCGCCTCCTCAATGTCGGACTTCGGGTGGGGCGAGGGGGGGGGGGTGGAGCTTTGACGTCGGCAGGGCGAGGGGGCATGTCTGTCCAGCGGCGCAGCCTCACCGCGCGAGCAGCCGACCGCGCCAGGAAAAATCGAGAGCTGCTGTGCGGCTCTGCGGCTCTCCCTCGACCGCCTTGCGCCTGGCGCTGGCAAGCATCGCGCGCGAAGAGAAACGCCTGGCGACTCAGCGTAGCCGAACATTAGGTCAGATCCTCGCGCGTGAACTTTATTAACAGACAACTCAGCAGGGATCCAAACAACAGAAGCAGCAGGGGTCTCGAGGCGCCGCTCCGAGGCATGTGCGAACAGCTTCCCCCAGACTCCTGCATGATTTTGCATGCCCGTAGTCAGTCCTGAATCCCAGGCTTGGCGAGGACCACCACATCAGAAACAACAGCTTGCACGCCCAGAAGAGGACATCGATCATACTGCCGCTGAAACTTGGTGCCCACGATACCGTTGGCAAGCTGGGACCTATCGCAGTTGAGACCCGCTTGATGCTGGCTGCAGATCCGCCCAACATGTTTCGTCCATGCCGTCGGAGAAGCCTGGATAATCTGCGGCCTCTGCTTCTGGATCAGGGCCCTGGTGGCCGGTTGCCAGTCCCCTGTGGAAGCCTGCTGCGCCCGGGAGAGCCAAGAACGCTGTCGCCACCGCCACGATTCCTGTGGCCAATGACGCTGTGCACGCTGCCGTACCGATACATTGCCCCCTTATCGCTGGCCCAGTTGCAGGACGCCGGAAAGGAAAGTGCGAGTGTTCACCCATGCTTATAGCCGCAACGCGTGGCACCGGATGGCAGCACCCCTTGGAAGCAGCTGCAGCATGCATGCGGAAGAGTGCTGAAGCTACCCCTCGCTCACGGGGGGGGCCACTTTTGTCAGCAACGATAGCAACATGTGGAACCACAGTGACGACGTGGAGTTGGACGGCGACGACGACGACGACGACGACGTTGGGATACACGATGACGGATTTCGAGGGCGGGAGACTGCTGAAACTTGGGCCGCGGGCCCCCGCCCCCCCCCACCCACACACACGGTTGATGTGATATGTATGATGTAGACCGTTGGGCAATACAATATTAGCAGCGTAAAACAAGCAATAGCCCCGGGCCCCCTTTTTTCAAGACCTTGTGCAGACCTTTACTGTTAAACTGTTTGGTGCTGTATGCTGCTTTTCCGCTCCTCCCCGCTTGACCGTCGATGAACACGGATGTGTTTTTCTCAAGACCTCTTCGAATGACGTCCGAGCGAGCCCATGCATGTGCGACCGTAGCCTTAAGCGCCTCTGGGCCTAAACCCGCACGGGTCCCTGAGCAAACAAGCAACGGATGATACAGAAAGTGTGCATGCGCGTATCCATGCCCTGTGCGCCCTCTCGGCACCTGTCCCCTCAGGCGCCACGCATGTCGGAGACGCGTGTATCGTGGCAGGGGGAGCTCAGGGGGATGAAACGGACAATGCGGGAACCGGCATGCTGAAACGGACAACACGGGAACCGTTGAGCAAACAAGCAGAGGAATGGGGGAAAGGGGAAGGGGAAGAGGGAGGGGACCCGGCTCCTCCTCCTCCTTGCTCCTCCTCCTCCTCCTCCTCCTCCTCCTCCTCACTCCCCCTCTCCTCCTCCTTCCCCTATCCTCCCCCTTCCTCTCCTCGTCCTCCTCTCCTCGTCCTCCTCTCCTCGTTCTCTCCTCCCCCCTCCTCCCGCCCTCTTCTTCGTCCTCGTCGTCATCCTCTTCCTCACGCTACTCCCTCTCCTGATCCTCTTTATCCTCCCCCCTCTTCGTCCTTTCCCCTCCTTCTCCTCCTCCTCCGCCTCCTCCTCCCGCCTCCTCCCTCCTCCCTCCCCCCTCCCCCTCAGACGGTGACAGAACTCGCGGCGACGACGACGACGCCGACGCTCATGGCGACGATCGCTGCGCTCGGGGATCCCGTCCTTGGCGCACGAGGAGACGGTGAGCTGCCCGCGCAAGCTGCACGGGCCGTGCGGCTTGCCCGCGTCCACGACGACACCGTCGCAGAACTCGTCCGCCTTGTTTCTGTAATCATTTTTCCCAACAGCCCTCCTTTGCTTGGGCACTCGTTTTGAATATAACGCTGCTGCTCTTCCGCTCCCCTCTCCTCCTCCTCCTCCTCCTCCTCCTCCTCCTTCTCCCGCCCTCGCCTCCAACCTCCCACCTCGCCGCCTTCGGGGATGCCACTTGCTTTCAACTGCGCAGCCGTCGCCGTTATCGTGACGTCCTGGGAAGTCCAGCGGGGTGCGGGGCAACAACATTCAAACAAGACCTCGCCTCCCAGGGTGCATGTGTGTGTATGTGTGTGTGCGCGTGGGCGCCAATTTCAAAAACTGTCGCCGTTTTCGTCAGCCGCTGAAGGTACAGCGGAGTGCGGGGCTACGCAAACCCAAACGATACCTCGCCTCGGTGGGCGCTGCCAAATTGCGAAACTGCCGCCACTTTCGCGAGCCCGTGGGGGGCGCAAGCGGAGCGCGGGGCCACGCAGATTCAACCGAGACCTCGCCGCCTTGGATGGTACCGGTTGCGCAACTTTTGCATTTTGTTCGGGCTCCTAAGGGTTCACTGGGGTCTGCGCAGATCCAAAGGAACCGCGCCTCCCAGAGTAAGCGCCGACTTGGACGGGTCTCTTGCTGCACCTGTGCGTGTCCAGAGCGACGCTGTCGGACAATCTGCTGGTCGTCTGCTGCCCGGGCTTGGGCTTTCCCTCCCAAGGTCCGCCGGCCAGCCTGGCGACGCGCCCGCGAAAGCCTGCGCTGAAAGGTGCAGGGCGGGGGTCCAGACGCTGGCGCACTGGCTCAGCCTGCCTCTGGTCGAGAACATTTGCTTAGCGTGTCGGCGGCCCCGGCGACACGTGGTGCCCTGCGAGCGGATGGCCTGTCGCTCCGCTCCGTGGGGCGGGGAACTGGGGACGACTCGGGACGTTGATGCCTGGGTGCTGGGACGTGGTTAACTCGCGCCGAAGCGTGTTGCGCCAGAACTGGCGGCGCGGTACGCGACGCATAAGCTCCTGACCGTAATTTTCTGAACGACTGGGCCAAAGAGCCGCCAACGCGCTTGCCAATGCGCTCACGTGATTCTCCATGCGGCCAATGCCCAGGCAAGGGCACGCCCGCGCTGTACCATGCAGGGCTGAGGTCAACAACTTGGTTCATCTTGAAATCGCCCTAGGCGTTTTCTTTTATAAGCGTTTTCTATTGTTGGCCTCTTGACAAGCTGAAAGCGCTAAGGCATATGCTTCGTTTCCTTTAGCGTGTCTAAAGTCGTTTTGTTTGGCAGCATTTTTCCGTCGCAAGATCCACAGGTGAGGCGGGGGCTGAAGCTGGTTTCCGTGCGCAGAGCTGAACACGTTAACCAAACAAAGTTCTAACACCGAGAGTTGCGGCTAAATGTGAAATAATCTAAGCAGTATAATTACGTAGTGCATTTGCGTAGTGTATTTGCGTAGTGTATCTACGTAATGTATGTACGTAGTGTATTTGCGTAGGAAATTTGCGTAGTGTATTCACGTAGTGTGTTTGCGTAGTGTATTTGCGTATCGTATTTTACATAGTGCGTGTTCGTAGTGCTTTTGAATCGTGTGTTGGGCCAGTGTGTTGTCTTGGTGTAGTGTGTAGCTCCTGCGTGGTGTATATGCGTAGTGTTTTCGCGTATGGTATTTGCGTCGCCGTTCGGCGTGCACTGCTTGCGTGGTTGCGCAGTGTAGTTCGAGGAATGCCTTGCGCCGCGTGGAATTAGCTTGCAGGGTAATGTGGTCACGTCGTGTTTTCGCGTCATGCGTTTCCGTGGTCGACCGCAAACTCAGGAAGACAGTCAGAACTGCGAGGCCTGGGGACGCTGCCAGGCACCTCGATCGGGCGATGGGCAATAACAATGCTGGAGATGTCCGTGATGACGCTGTTGTGCCCGGGGCTGCGTCGTGCTCCCCTGCGCTGCGCCGCGCCGCACTCGGACATGGCAGTGAACGCGCCACGTGACGTATTTGAGTAGTGAATTTGCGTAATGTATTTGCGTAGTGTGTTTGCGTAGTGTATCTGCGCAGGGTGTATTGACGTAGTGTATTTGCGTAGCGTATTCGTGTAGTGTATTTGCGTCGTGCATTTGCGCAGTGTATTTGCGTAATGTGTTTGCGTAGCGTATTATACAACATGTATTTTACGTAGTGCGTTTGCGTAACGTGTTGGCGCAATGTGTTGGCGTAGCTTGTTGGCGTAATGTTTCTGCGTGGTGTATTTGCGTGGTGTTTTCGTGTGCGGCATTACCGTAGCAGTTTGGCGTGCAGTGCTTGCGTGGAATATTTGCGTTGTGTATTTCGCGGAATGCCTTGCGCCGCGTGGATTTAGCTTACCGCCTAATGTTGTCGCGTCGTGTTTTCGCGTCATGCGTTTCCGTGGTCGACCCGCAAACTCGGGAAGACATTCAGAACTGCGAGGCCCGGGGACGCTGCCACGCACCTCGATCGGGCGTGGCCGTGGAGACGCTCCTGCGCCCTGGGCTGTGTCGTGCTCCCCTGCGCTGTGCCGCGCCGCGCTCGGACATGGAAGGGAACGCGCCACGTAGTGTATTTGCCTTGTGTATTTACGTTGTGTATTTGCGTCGCGAATTCGCGTCGCGTATTTGTGTACTGTGTTTGCGTATTTGCGTATTTGCGTATCTGCGTCGGGTGAATCGACGTAGTGTATTTGCGTAGTGTACGTGCGTCGTGACTTCTACGTCGTGTATCTCACGTAGTGCGTTTGCGCAACGTGTTGGCGCAGTGTGTTGGCGTAGCGTGTTGGCGTAATGCTCCTGGGTGGTGTATTTGCGTGGTGTTTTCGTGTACAATATTAGCGTCGCCGTTTGGCGTGCTGTGCTTGCGTGGAATACTCGCGTAGTGTATTTGCGTGTAATATTTACATAGTGTATTTACATCGTGCAATCACGTAGTGCCAATTCACGATGGAGCTTCTTTCCACAGCGAAATCGTATACGTAGTGGATGCACGTAATGTATTCACGCAGTGCCTATTTCACGTTGGAGTTTTTTCTTGTAAGATAACGCTCGTCGTGTATTTACGAAATGTATATGCGTAGTGCACTTGCGTACTGCATTTGCGTAGTGTGCTTACGTAGTGTATTTGCGTAGTGTTTGCACGTAGTGTCTCTGTCACGTTTAAGCTCTTCTATTTCACCATTCGACTTGTCATGTCACCATTAAGCATAACCGTCTCTGACACCGCTGCGGAAAAAAAGGCCTGGGGGCCCACGGTCCGTCCGCGGCGGGCTCCGACGATGGAAGTCAACGGGCCTGAACACGCTGAAACAGCTAACATTTCATTTCACGTTTCTGCTTTTCTTGTGGATACCTGAAAGCGCTAAGCAATGACTTCCAAGACGCTAAACTGAAAACGCACATTAAAACCCATACGTTTTAAGACGAATCAAGACCAACAAGATGGCCTTGAGACCCAGCCTGTGCCCGTTCCTGCACAAGCGACCTTAAAACAAATCCTTCGTCGTCGCCGATAGCTCGTCGCTCTCCGCGCCGTCCTCAGTTTTCCTCGTTGCGCTGTTGCTCGACGTTGCATATATATATATATATATATATATAGCACCAGTATGGGTCCCTGACGCCAGACAGGAGGAAAGAGAGATCCCCGGGACCCAGACGAGACTCACCCAGGCTCTACCTCACTTTCTATAGAGACGATGCAGCAATGGCAGAATCGTATCGATCACCGCAAGAGGGGCGACAGTCACTGGAGCACTGGACGCGAAACCCGAAAACAGAAAGTCTCAAGCTGTGCGCGGGTGGGCGGGGGGGCGCTTGAGCCGAACGGTTTCGGTTCGGCGTCCATCTCCCTCCCCTCTTGCTCATACATTTAAATGTGGGGAGCACCAGTATGGGTCCCTGAGGCAAGACAGGAGGAAAGGGAGATCCCCGGGACCCAGACGAGACTCACCCAGGCTCTACTTCACTTTCTATAGAGACGATGCAGCAATGGCAGAATCGTATCGATCACCGCAAGAGGGGCGACAGTCACTGGAGCACTGGACGCGAAACCCGTACCCGTCTCCCCGAGTGATGAATATGGACATCAGGCCGAAACCTCCCAAGCCTTTCTGAAGCGATTCGAGGACTCGAGAATCTCAGAGATGTTAACGAAATGGTCAGCGACGGTGTTACATAGCTTCTTGGGATAAGCGGCGGCCAGAGCGGTCCTGCGAGCGGGGGCCCCTGGACCCCTACCTGCCAGAACCACGTGAGGGACCCGGGTGCGCCCGCAGATGCCTTTGGGGCCCCCGCGCCGGCGGGGCAGGGGATCGCAGAGGCCCCCGCCCCAAAAAGCAATAGTGGTCTTTTCTCCAAGGCGTACCGAATGCGCACTGATCAAAGTGGCGAAGACGACAATCATCAGCACGGAGAAGGGGTAACAGCGGCGGCGCCAGCCACATGATGGATGTGCGAGGGTTCTCCAGGCCAACTGGAATATTGTGTCAACGACGCAGCTTTATGACGGCAATCGAAAACATGAGCGAGGCATTACCTAGGTCAACTTTGTGCTGATGCGCTTCTGAAAGAAATTGAACTCCCGTGGGCTCGTCTGAGGTGCGGAGGCAAATGCGTACAGCCCTGGGCCAGGAGGTGCACGGGGTGCCCAGGAATACGGCAAACAGAGCGTTGGACGTGATCCAGCCTTTCACAACACGTAAGAAGGCAGTCCGAAGATGATCCTCACAGGCTGAATTGACCCAGTCCAGAGAAAGGGCACCGGCGCGTCTGCGCCGAACAGCCTGCGACAGCCTGCCGCAGCCTCCAAACAGTTCGAGAAAGATGCGGGAACGGAGTACCCTCCGGGCGCGTGGCGTCCTCTTCACCTCCCTCGCGAAGGCGCGGTGGAGGTGCCCGGCCACGTCGGCGTCGGAGGCCGTCAGCGCGGCCGCTGGCGTCCGCTCCGCGAGCCGCGCGCGCCCTGGGCGGGCACAGGCACGCCTGCGGCCAGCGGCCAGTACACGTCGGGGCCCAGCATCACCTGGCTGCGGGGGCCCAGCAGCGCGCGTTGGAGCACCGACTCCAGGTTGGCGACGACCGACTGCCCGAAGGACACCACGCGTGGGAGCACCAGCCCGAGGATAGCCAGCAACTTCGACTCCATGCCGTAGTGGGGGAGCGAGGTCTCGCTCTGCCAGTGGCAACGCCTCTGCACGGCGGCCAGCGGCCTGCGCGGCAGCGCGAGGTCCTCGGAGGCGCCCCCGTGCCGAAGCATATACACGCTGGGCCGCAGCGGGCCCAGGCCCGGCAGCGCGGCGGCGCCCTCGGACCCTTCCGTGAGATCCTTCGGCGGGAGGTCGCACAGCGGGGCGTCGCTGGAACGGGCTCTTCAGCGCTGCCAAGGGCCGGAGGGTCCGCGGATCCAGGTCGAGCAGCACCGCCTCGTCCCAGAGGCCTGTCTTGCCCGGCGGCAGGGCGAGGGAATCGCCCAGCAGCGCGTCCCAGGCCGCGTCCGCCCCCGCCAGAGCCCGCGGCAGCGGCAGCCGCGTCTGCGGGGAGCCCGCCGCAACCACGCAGTCGTGCAGCGGGCGACCCACGGCAGGCGGGTGCGGGTGGCCTGCCCCAGCTCTGGCAGCCAGTGGTCCAGCACGGACAGCGTCTGGTACCCCGCGTCTGGGTCGTGGCCGAGCTGGAAGAGGTGGGTCAGGAACAGGACCGGCTCCGTGTCCAGCGTCGCCGCCGAGTCCCAGGTGGGGCTCTTGCCGTTGCAGAAGGCCACCAGCTGGAAGAGCAGCGGCGCGCACAGAGCCACGGTGGACGGGCGGAAGGCCAGCCGCACCAGGACGCAGAGTCCTGCCAAGGCCGGCTGAGTCGCCGGTGCCTGGTGGGCGGACGCTCTCCTCTCCTGCATGAGCGGGCTCCCCGTACGGCCGACCACGGGGCGTGGGCGGGTGGCAGCTGCGGCCCGCCTCATGGCCCCCCTCAGGCGCCAGGTGGGGCCGGGAGGGGGCGTGCAGGCCCGAGAACCAGCCCAGACGGCCTCGGGAAAGGGCATCGGCCAGGTTCCATTCAGACAGAATCCATCTCACCACAAAGCGCGTGTCCGAGCCGGCGGCGTGTTGGAAAGCATAGGCCTCGCACAGGAACGACGGGCACTCTCTACGGATCAACCCAGCCCAAGTAAGGTGGCCAATAAGGATCTCCATGAGCTTCCAACTGAGAGAACGCCGGCGCAGCACGACATCCAGGGCACGGCGGAGACGCCATATAGACCGACGCTTGATAGACAGCTTGCGACCACGAGCGATCTCGACACCTGCAGGAAATCGGCGCCCCGGGACGCGTCCGACAGCTCGCGCACCACGAGACCCCACTCCGTCAAACGTTTAACAATAGCGTCACGGCCCGCCTGGGCCACTCCAGGGGATCGGCTGAAAACAAAGAAGTTGTCGACATAACCAGCAACCGCGCACGAACCATCTTCAGGAACGGCCGGGCCCACCGTCGAGGACCATGAGAGGCTGCGGGAACCCCGAGAGGACCAAGCTATTGACCAAGACCGTCTGCACCATATGCATAGCCCAGGACCAGCCCGTGGGGAGGACCTTGAGGACAGGGGTGATCGGGTCGGAGGCCAACGCGGGGTGCCCGTCGAGCGAGGTGATGCCGAGGTAGCCTGCGGCCACGTCTGGTAAAGGGAAGCACTCTTGCAAACCATCAGGCAACTCGATACGGTATAAACAATTGTCAATATCGCCCCCGGAGACGAACAAGCCGTCGGCCCCGGCCTCTACAGAACTAAGAGCAGCAGAAGTGGGGGGTCTCGTCGAAAACGGGTCCCGGAAACAAATCACCTGCCTAGTGTCGAAAATGAGTCTGAGCAGCTCCGATTTTTTTGGCGACGAAGAAGACCCCGGCCCTCGCCCGGATCTTACAGGGCCGCCGAAAGGAGACCATGCTTCTCTCCACGAGAGTTTTCAGGAAATCAGCATAACAGTTCGGCCTGCAGGCCCGCAAGAGCCCGATCTGTATAAGGGGCCCCTGGGGCGCGCCTCGGCTGCAAGACTGGCCGCCTCTCCAGGCGGTCTGAGCAGATTGCTACAAGCGGGGCCTAGCCATTTCTTGTCGCCCTCCGCCAGCAAGTCCAAGAGGGGCGCGGGCGCGCCGTCGGTGGGCAGGGAGACCATCCCTCTGACGCAAGGCCGAGTGCTGGAGGGATCCGCGAAATACGGGCCGCCAGCGGCGCAGAGCTCGGCTAGGGCCCCCGCGCTTCCGGGTGAGTCGACAGGGGGACTCGCCAGTTGTAGAAACTCCGACTCGACGTGGCTCAGCGCGGCGCGCTGGGCAGCGGTGGCGGGCGCCGGCGGCTGCTCGGCCTTCGCAAACCCGTAGGCCGAGTTCAGGGAGTCGATGCAGTCGTTGGCCCTGTCGAGAGCCCTGAGGGTGCGGACGTGGCGCCTCGAGACCGCGCGGCAGCAGGACTTCGCCGCAGCCTCCACGGCGCCCCCTGGGCGCTGCAACGGCGGCAATGGGAGCGCGTCTCGCAGGCGGCCATCGAGCTCGTCACGGCGCGGGCGTGCATCGCCTTTGTCGGCCGCACCGGGCGGGCGAAGCCCGGGCGGGGGCCTGAATGTGCCGGCGGGGGTGGCCCGATCCTCGCGGCCGGCGGCCCGCTCAATCATTGTCGCCGCCGCCCTCATTGCCGCGCTTCGGCTTTGCTTTAGCCTTGGCGGTCTGGGCAGCGGCGCGCTCCTCTCTGGCCTTCCTCCTTTCCTTCAAAATCGCATGCTCCTGAGCCAGCTCCTGGCTGACCCACGTCTGGAGGGCCGGGCACGCGCAGCAGCTCCCGCGCGCCAGCTCCGCCCCCAAGTACAGGTTGGTGTCCACGCGCACGGGGTCGGCCGCGCCAGCCAGGCGCTCCCGATACTTCTCCTCGATGATCTGCAGGGCACGACCCAGCAGCTCGAAACTGACCATCTCCGCCACGTTCAGTTGGTCGAGGCACACCGCGTTCTCAAGCGCGGTGCAGATGCGCAGGTGCTCGTCCACACCGCCCTCGTTCGACAAGCGACAGTCCGTCTTCCACCGGACTCCCGCCATTGGCCGCCAGGAAATGGCAGACCCACTTCAGGGTCCGCGGCCCCCTCACCGGCCAGTCCGCCCACGGTGTCTCCGTCAGCAGGGCCAGAGAGTCGCTGAAAGGCGTGTTCCGCCGGGCCATGGCGTCGATCATGATCGGGTGGACGCGGAGGTCCGTCCCGCCGAGGGCGGCCAGCGGGGCGGCAGGCACGGCCGCAGCTGCGGCGGCTGGCGCGGGGGCGAAGGCAGGGGCCGGCGCGGCCGCCGCGCCGCCTGCCAGGGGGCCGACCAAGGCGCCCGGCATCGGGGCCACAGGCGCCGCCGGTCCCGCGGCCGGCAGCCCCATCAGGCCACCGCCGGCCCCAGCGCCCGGCGCCACGGCCCCGCCGCCCGGCCCGAGGACGGCGGCCAGGGCGGCAAGCCCGCCCCCGACTCCCGCTCCTCCGTCAGGCGCCGCGGCTGGGGCGGCTGGGACGGCGAGGGGCGCCGCCCCTGGGGCGCCCAGCACGCCCAGCCCTCCAGGAGGGGCCTCGGCACGGCCGCCCGTGTTGGGCGCCAGCGGCACGCCTGGGGCCGCATCGCCGAACCGGGCGGCGGCCGCGTCACGCGCGGCGCCCAGCGCCGCGGCCAGGGGCACCGCGCGGAAGCGGCACACGCGGGCAGCTGCCCCGCCGACCGCCATGGGAGGCACACCGCCCTGGGCGCCGCCGGGGAGCAGGCACCAGGCCACTGCGTCGCCGCCGGGCGCCAGGTCCTCCTCGTAGTGGTCGTCGTCGGGCGTGTAGCCAGTCACCACTCCACCCGCCTGGGCCCGTGGGAGGTACACGCACACCCGCTCGTGCCACAGCGGAGGGCCCGCCACGCCGAAACGGATCAGGTAGAAGTCGCCCTCCTCCAGGCCCGCGAGCGCCACCCCGTTCAGCACGTGTGCGGCCATCACGGCGACCGCCGCGCGCGCACCAGGCGCACTTGCTCCTGCGCCGCGGCCTGCAGCTCCACCTCCTCGTCCCGCACGGTCAGCGGCCCGGCTGGCGAGGCAGGGGCCGCGGCGGGCGCAAGCCCCGGCAGCGCCGAGAGGCCCGGCTTCGCAGCCGCCGGCAGCCCTGGCGGAGCGCGCTGTCCGCACTGCCGGCGCAGGAAGCCGGGAGCCAGCTCCAGCAAGGCCCCGAGCCCTACCAGCAGCGGCCCAGCCACTGGGCCGATGGAGTAGCTGGCCCCGCAGTGCACGGTCGGGCACGAGGGACAATTCAGCGAGCAGGTACACGCTGGGCAGTCGCAATAGCACGTAGGGCACTCCTGACCCGCTGCCCGCACCGCGATCCCTACGCCGAGCCCCCGAACAATCTCTTGGCCTGCCTGGGCGAGGAGAGCGTCCATGAAAGGCGCGGGCTTGCGCTTGAGCCGAACGGTTTCGGTTCGGCGTCCATCCCCCTCCCCTCTTGCTCATACATTTAAATGTGGGTGCATATATATATTATATATATATATATATATATATATATATGTATATATATATATATATATATATATATATATATATATATATATAATGATAATATGAATGCCGCCCCCCCCCCCCCGGCCCTGGGTTCCACACCTCCCAAGAACATCTCGGGGACGCTCCCGGAACCGCTCCCCCAGCCTTTCCGGGGAGCCTCCACAGCGCCCCAGGAGGGCCCAAGACGCCTCCCAGGAGCCCCTAGAATGCGAAAGGGTGGTCCCAGACGCTCCCAAGCAGCCCCAGTCAGCCTTCCGACGGTTCTCGAGGCTCCCAGGTGGCCTCCAAGAGACCCCAAGAGAGGTCCGAGAAGCGTCCTAGGACGGCCCGAAGAGGCCAACATCGTCGTTTTGCATGTTTTTTTTGAATGTTTTTGGCTTCTCGCGTTTGCGAGATTCCAACGGTACAGGAGCGCCGAAGAGGCCCCCCCAAGACCGCCCCAAGACCATCCAAGAGACCCTCAGGACGGCCCCAAGACGGGCCACGAAGGCTCCAAGACTGCCGAAGAGGCGCCCAGCCCCAAAACAGGCCCAAGATGGGCCCAAGAGCGGGAGCAGGAGGCTTCCAGAGACCTCCGAGAGGCCTCCGGGACCACCTAGAGGCCCCCAACTCACCCCCGATCCCCGAGAGGCCCCAAAACGACCCCGACGAGGCTTCAAGAACAGCCCAAGAGGGCTGCGAGAGCCGCCCCGAGAGAGCCCAAAGAGGGTAAAATCGTTGACTTCCAATGGTTTTTCCAATGTTTTTCGCCTTCTCACGTTTTCCCGCTTCCAGCCCTCAAAGATCGAGGATTTTGGAAAAAGGGAATTCCTAGATTTTTTTTCTTTTTTCAAAATGGAACTCCTATTCGGGGGTCCTACACATCCCCTGACATCTGGCCGTTACCGCGCCTCCCAGCTTCTTGGGAAGACCCAAAGACGCCGAAGGACATCCCATAACGACCCCAAGAAGCTCCCAGAACGTAAAGAACGGCCCAAGACGCTCCCAAGCAGTCCAAAATACCCTGTGGACGGCTCTCCACGCTCCCAGGAGGCCTCCGAAAGGTCCCAAGACAGGTCCGAGAGGCGTCCCGGGAAAGTCCGAAGAGGCCAAAATTGTTGATTTTGATTGTTTTTTCGTATGTTTTTGGCCTTCTCGCGTTTTCGAGCTTCCAACGGTCCAAGACCGGCCCAAGACCGCCCAAAAGACTCCCAGGACGGGTCCAAAACGCGCCAAGAAACCTCCAAAATTGCCGAATAGGCGCCCGGTACCGCGCCCCCCGGCCTCCCGGGGAGCTCCCCAAACGCTCCGGAACGCCCCAAGACAGCTCCAAAAACCCCTCATAATGCAAAATAACAGCCGGAGATGCTCTCAAGCAGTCCAAACCAGTCTGTGGACGGCTCTCCAGACTCCCAAGAGGCCTCCAGACGCCTCCAAGACACTGCAAGAGAACACGTCCCGAGAGAGCCCGGAGAGCAACACAAATCATTGAATTTCATATTTATCCGAAGTTTTTGATTTTGTCAATTTGTCATGCTTCCAACGCTCAGAGACGACCGCAGAGACTCCCAAGACCGCCCCAAGACCGCCCAAAGGCCTCCCAAGACAAGCTAGGCGGGCCCAGGACGGGCCCTCTGCCACAATGCCCCCTGGCCATCTCAGAGACCGACCCAAGCAGCCCCGCTTGGAAGCACTCTTCAGCCACTCTGGAGCTATCGTTGAGGCTCAAAGGGGCCATTCTTGAGCCCTCTCTTCGGGGCTTCTTGGGTCCTCCCGCGCAACCCGAGACACCCTTCTCCAGGCCTCTTGGAGGCCTCCAGAACCCCCAGGGGGTCCAGAAGATGCCACACCCCTGAGGGGCCCGGCTAAACCCGCGAGGCACAAACAAGATACAGCGCCGAACAGCGCCGAGGAACTGGACAAAAACGGGAAATCCAACATTTCTTTTTTTTTTTCCAAGTTTGGCCCCCGGTCTACTCTTGCACAACAGACCACAATTCAGACCCCCCTCACCTCCCCAAAAAGAACCCAGGAAGCCTTTGAGGGTCCCAAATCGTTGAATACCTAAAGGGAATTAATGATTCTGCGTTTCCGCACTTCCCCTTCTGTACGACTCCGAGGCTTGCGCAGGGCCTCCAAGGGAGCCCCTGGACGCAAGACGCGACAAACATGAGATTACATGAGTTAGCCTATCAAGCCTAGCTAGAACTTGAGCGCGCGCGAAGCGTGCGCGATTGATTTAGTGTATATATATATATATGTACACATGTATATATGTATGACCACCCCTGCTCTAGCAACGCCCTGTCTCGTCCTCCTATTCGTCGTCGTCTCTCCGTCTCCCCATCGCTTCCTTCCCCTGTGTGCCGCCTCGGGCGAGCAATGACTGGCCCCCACCACGTGGCTTCCACTCGGGACAGCATGCCCTCTTAAATGCTCGTTCGTCTTGGATGAGCCTGTTGATATCGCAACGCGCAGCAGATGGGTTGGGCGCGCCCCCGCATATACTTTCTGAGGGGGGAGTATGAGGAAGATGAGGATAAGGAAGGCCCCCTGAGGGAGACGGGGGATCAATGATCGAGATATTTGAAAGAGCGTGTTCTACCGCTGCTGGCGAAAAACCGAGGGGGGTCAATGCGGGTTCCCAACCCGTCCCCCCCTTCGAAAACCGGGGGGGGTCACTACTGGTTCGAACCCCCCAGTCCATCATGAAAAGGAGAGGGGGGTCACTATCGGTTCGAACCCCCCCCTCGCCGCCGGCAAACGATTCCCGCTCCTCGGGACAGTTGGACAGTGGTGGGGATACTGGGACAGTGGTGGGGACGGTGGTGGTAGGGACAGTGGTGTGGGGACAGTGAGACCAGTGGTGCGGACAGTGGTGGGGACGGTGGTGGTGGGGACAGTGGTGAGGGGACAGCGGGATAGTGGTGGGGACAGTGGGACAGTGGTGGGGAAGGTAGTCGTGGGGACAGTTGTAAAGGCGGTGGTGAGGACGGTGGTGGGACAATGGGACAGTACTACAGTGGGGAGAGTGGTGGGGACAGTGGGGACAGTGGGACAATGGTGGGGACAGCCAGGACAGTGGGACAGCACCGTGGGACAGCGGCGGGGGCAGTGGGGACAGTAGGACCGTAGTGTGAACAGTGGTGGGGACAATGGGACAGTGGTGGGGGCCGAGGGGAAGGTGGGGAGAGCGGGGCCGTGGTGGGACAATGGTGGCGAGAGTGGGGACAGTGAGACACTGGTGGGGGCACTGGTGGGGACAGCTGGAACAATGGTGGGAACAGTGGGACAGTGGTGGGAACAATGGGGACAATGGGACAGTGGTGGGGACCGTGCGGAAAGTGGAGAGAGTGGGACCGTGGTGGGACAGTGGTGGGGAGAGTGGGGACAGTGAGGCACTGGTGGGGGCACTGGTGGGGACAGCGGGAACAATGGTGGGAAAATGGACAGTGGGACTGTGGTGGGGATACTGGGAGAGTGGTGGGGGCGATGGTGGTGGGGACAGTGGTGTGGGGACGATGGGAATGTGGTGGGGACAGTGGGACAGCGGTGCGAACAGTGGTGGTGGGGACAGTGGTGAGGGCGGTGGCGAGGACGGTAGTGGGACAGTGGGACAGAGGTACAGCGGGGACAGTGGTGGGGACAGTGGTGGGAACAGTGGGATAGCTCAGTGGGACAGCGGCGGGGACAGTGGGACATTGGGACACGTAGGGACAGTGGGGACAGTGGGACGGTGGCGGGAGTGGGGAGAGTGGGACCGTGGTGTGAACAGTGGTGGGGACAGTGGGGACAGTGACTGGTGGGGAATTGGGGACGGTGGTGTGAGCAGTGGGGACAGGTGGTGGGGACAGTGATGCTGGGGCAGTGAGGGCTGTGGTGCGAACGGTGGTGGGGACCCGGGAGTCGTTTGCCGGCCGGCAGTGGGGGGGGGTTCGAACCGGTAGGGGGGGGGGAGGGGGGGTTCGAACCAGGTGGGGGGGGGGAGGGGTTAAGGGGGGGGGACCCCCGGGTTGCGGAGGAAGAGGGGGGGGAATTTTCCACAGTAAAGCGGCGGTGGATCACGCTCTCTCAGATATTTGGGCCGCCGCCGCTATCTAGGGCCGCCGATTCTCATCCCCAGAAACCTCTGGGCGTCTCTGGGGAGAAGGAGGAGGAGGTGGACGGTGGGCGCGGGGAGGAGTAGCATGATAAGCGAAGATTTGGGAGTGGGAGTGGAGGAGGGCGCGAGTAGCAGGAGGAGTAGGAGGAGACAGAACAAGCTTGGCTTTTGGATGTTTTGGCGTTTGCTTGCCTCTGTGTTTGCGGGTGGCTTGCGAAGAGCGGGTGCCCAGATATTGTCTGGACCCCCTCGATGTTTTCGATCGATTCCCAGGGGATGATGAAACGGAGTTGACACTACTTTCAAGTATTACGTATTACGGATTATCTCGGAGCTCATGGCAATCTAGGGACGCCAAGGAGGTTGTCATGGCAGGAGAGAGGAGGGCGATGATGATGAGGAGAGGGAGGAAGAAGGAGGGGGGAGGGGAGGATACTTCTGTGAGAATGAATCAGGAGGCGAACGCCCATACGTAAGTGTCCATTCGCCAGGTTGATGGTCAGGAGGATGGGGGGGAAGGAGGAGGATGAGAAGGAGAAGGAGGAGGATGAGGAGAAGGATGAGGAGGATGAGGAGAGGAAGAGGATAGGGCGGCAGAGGGGAGGTAAGAGGAGTGGGAGGAGGAATCGCAACAGGAACAGGGGAAGTCGTGAAGTCGGAAATGGTGGAAGGTCATAGAACTCAGAACCCTTTCGCCTGGCACTGCATCATGCAGTCGTCCAAGGAGAGGCTGGTCCCGTTGCTGTCGCCCGCGTCACCGTTTGGGAATCGCCCGCTTCCGCTGCCCGTCGAGCAGCTCACACCTGAAAGCTTCTCCCAACCGCCCTCTTTCGCAATTTCCCCGGCCGGTGTACTTCTTTCCGCCAGGTCCTCCCTGGGTTCGCGGTCCCCGCTGTGATTGTGGCTCTTCCTGGTCCTCAGAGCAGCCGCAAACAATTGGAGCTCGCTGCTTTCTCCCTGGAACCCATCACCACATCCCGCCCCCTCTCGTCCTCTCCTGCTCTCCCCCCCCGCAGGGCGAGGGTGTGGCGGGAGAACTCTTCTCACCCGTGCAGGTCCTGCTGTGATTCTGGCTGCTGTGGTTCTTGGGAGTGCCATGGGGACCTGTGACATTTGTCCAAAACGAAGGCTTCAGGACTGCCACTATCGGCTCAAAAACGGTCCCAACCGGCGGAAGCTCCGCGTGCGGAAACTCCACGTGCGGAATCTCCACGTGCGGAATCGGGAAGCTGGGCCATCCAGAATTGCCCCCGGCATCATTGTGGCTCACGTTCCTGGCCTCGTCCCCAGGACCGACCACACTCCTGTTGCCATCGTGGAAGATAAGCGGCACCTCCAGACTGACAGCCTCGTCGCCGTCGCTCGTCATCTGGCTCGGCCAGGCCAAATTCCACAGCAGAAAGGCGAGAGCAGATGCGTAGACCAGGAGGACGGGATACTTCCAGTAGTGGCCTTGGTTGGAGGGAAGAGGGTGGAACCAGGAAGCCTGGCCCCGAGGAAAGCAATCCTGGTTCAAAACCCTCACCGAAGAGGTCGAGAGTTAGGAAGTCCGACGTGGATGATCGGGCAAGGGAAGATGGGAACGGTCTCCGCCGCCTCTCCCCTCGCCCGCCCCGCCCTCCCCAGAAAACCCAGACACGGCATGAACATAACCTTCCAGACGTTCGCGCGAACTCCTCGAGTCGGCGACAGACTCCCCTCCCCACACACCTCCTGGAGCGCGGAGCGCGCCAAAGGCGCCGCCAGAGGTTCGAAGGTTTTTGCTTGCGTGTGTCATGCTTTGGTGCTCTATTCCGGGTTCCTCTGCTCATCCTATTTTCCGCCTCCTTCCTCCATCCCTTCTCGTTGTGACCGTCACGGGCGGACCCCCCGTGGCATGTTCAGGATTTGTTTTGTGGAGTGCCAGGTGCTGTCTGGTAGGGGTCTTGTGATCCACGACGGCCCCAAGACGGCCCAAGATGGCCTCAAGTATTGCCCAGGAGGATCTCCAGACGGCCCAAAAGGGCTCCAAGAGAGTCCCCAGCAGGGCCCGAAGAGGCCAACATCATTGTTGTTGTTTTCTTAGGCTTTTGATGAAATCCCACCAGCCCTCCGGGCGTGAGTGGTCTAACGAGCTCGTTCTGCTAACCCCCTTCTTCCCTGTCGGTGAGGACCCAACGCGTCTGGAGGAGGCGTTCCGCGAGGGGGTGAAGCGTCCAAGATGGACCAATATGGTTTCGAGAGGCCTACCCCCCAGATGCCAAAATCCTTCCGTTACTTATGGGGGATCCATGATTTCTACCTTCTCGCTAGATCGCTTCCGATGGGCCCTTGAGGCCTCTAGATGGCTCCAAAATGGCCTAAGAGAGCCCGAAGAGGGGCCCAAGACGGCCCCAACAGCGTTCAATACCGCCCCAAGAGGGCCCCAAAATGCTGTTTTGAGGTTTCCGGCGGGGGGGGGCAACTTAGGACCCCCCCTTCGGCAAATAGCTTCCAAAATGGCCCTAAGAGGGCCGAAAGAGAGCCTCAATTGAGTACCGAAAGGCTTCCAAAAATGGCCCCAAAAAGGCCCCACGCTGCAAACAACCACTCGACCAGGACAATTACAAGGATCCGTCTTGGGTGCCGGGCCGCATGCTGCTACACATCCCTGATCAATGCAACTCGTCTGTTGACTGTTTTGGGGTAGGCTGGTGGCGATACTTTTGGGTACGCAGGCGCACGAATCAAGTCGGACGCCGGGCAAGCAGGGGCAGGCCAGCGAAGAAAAAGCAGGGCAACGAACGCGCCGAGACGGGCGGGACTCAGGGGCGGCCGAAAGGCTAATGCGAAGGAGCAACACCAGGACCGCGGAGAAGGTGCCGGGTGCGAGGAAGAGCAAGCACCACCAGGAGCGGCAGAGCGTGACCGCCTCCAGGAGTAGGAAGCCCGTACCCCGCGAACAGGAAAGCTGGTGGCGATACTTTTTGGCCTGCGGGCTCGCGAAGCAAGTCGAAAGCCGTCCGATCACTAGCCGGGCCGCGACTCGGCAGCAAGAAAAGAGAGGGGCAAGCGAAGCGAGCGCGCGGGCAGCCACTCAGAAGAGCACCAGGAGCGGCACTCCAAACCCGGTGGCGTGGAAATACCGGTGGCGACCATCAAGAAAACTCATCCAAAATGGCGCGGCGGCGCGACTATGAACACGCAGAGGTCGATCACCAGGCGTGAGTCGGCATATGGCCCGACAAAAACGAGCAGTTCCGACAGGCACTCCAGGGCGACATCCGTGCCGTAGGTGACACAACAGCATCGTGTCGGCGCCGGAGTGAAGGCTGGTGGCGATACTTTTTGGTCAGCGGCTCCGAGGCAACGGTCAGGGAGCGGAAGCGGCGTCGGGGACACGGTACGGGGCTAATTAGCTACAGCAGGCACAGGCCGGCCGGCCCGCTCACAAAGCAGCCACGAAACTGAAGAGAAGCTGACGCTGCAGGTGACCTGACCCTGAGAGCTCGCGCACGTGCACAGACCAAATGTCTTGAATTCGGTGCCAGCCACAGTCTGAGACGTGAAAAGGGTAACCAAGCCCGTCAAGAGACATAACCAGGATGACCAAGTCCGTCAATCTGAGTGGAGGCAAGTGGGAGGCCGGTGGAGTGAGTCGCCTGTGGGGCGCCAGACTCCAAATGCCCACGACGACGTCTGCACGCCAGGGGGGCAGCAGTCGCGGAACTTGGTGCAGGGCACTGGCCGGAAGCTGGTGGATGAGCCTGGGGTGCTGTGCCTGCTGCGGAAGGCTGAACCACTCCGTGGCGACCCAACGCCCGAGAGACCACCCCACAGTGCATGGGGGAACCAAGCGACTGTGGGCCACGCAGCGCGCGCCGGCACGGCGCCAGGCCTCAGTGAGGGGGGGAGGGCCCGCAGGCGCGGTGAGCATCGCCCGCCAGCGGGGGGAGGGGGGGGGGCGGCACTGGTGGTTGCGCTGCCTTCTGCGGCGTCATAGGGCGGAGCGCCCGGGGGAGCTGCGCTGTGGAGGACACGGGGGCCAGGAGGCAAGTCTGGCCCAGTCCGCCGCTTGGCACTGCCCGCCAGACCCGCGGCCCTACACGCGCCACGAGGTCCTCCAGGGCCGAAGCAAACGCCGCTGAGAGTGATGGGCCAGACCACGAGTAGCGCGGAACACGGGCGGCCCTGGGAGGGGGGGCAACCACCCCGACGTCTGATAGCACGTCTGGCAGGCCCCGAGGCCAAGGGCGGGGGGCACTCGCTAGGCCCGAGAGGGGAGAGGCGAGGGGAAGCACCGCCTCACCCCTCGGCCTGGCCCCGAATCCGAGGGCTAGGGGTCATTGTCACCTCTTGGGTCATTCTCGGGGGTCGCAGCTAGTCGCCGCTATGATCTCTCTTTGATCTCCTCGGGGGTCGCAGCTAATCGCCGCTGAGATCTCTGTTTAATCACCTCGGGGGTCGCAGCTAGTCGCCGCTATGATCTCTATTTGACGGTTGGTGTGTCCGATTGTTGGTCCCTTTCGTTTACTCGGGGGGTCGCAGCTAATCGCCGCTCATCTCTATTTGGTGGTAGGTGCGTCCGATTGATGGCCCTCAAGGGTCGCAGCAAACCGCAGCTGATGTGGAACAGCAGTGTGACAGGACGGCGGGGGGGTTGGTTCTCGGGGGTCGCACCTAATCGCCGCTTGAGCCGTTATTGGCAGAGAGGTGCCCAGGCAAGGCCGCGGAGGCATGCCGCCGCCCCCAGTGCAGGAGCAGCGTGCGCAGCCACATGCAGCCTCTGCCACACGCGCGGCGACACCCGCAAGGCCCTTAAGGAGAGAGGCGGGGGGGCAGCCGCGCCTCCCCCTGGGCCTGCCCCCGCGCTCGTGGGATAGGTGGCGCACCCGCCGAGCTAGGACCGTGCCTGCTGCCATTGGCCGCTCTTCATGCACACTCAGATCCCACTGCTGTAACAGGTCAAGTTGGGCCCCGATGCAGCCTGCTGCATTGCCGGGCAGCGACAGGGCCTGCTGACAGCGTCCACCCTTCTCGCGCCTGATCCCAGCGCTGCAACTGACGACAGTGGGCTCCAACTTAGCTTCCCGCATCCTGGCCATGCGCCAGAGCAAGTGGATCTCAATGTATTGGATGGTGCCTCCGCCTCCGCTGAACCGACAGCTCCGGGATGCAAGAGCACCTGGGCCCCCGAAGGCGGACCCGAGCGTGAACGGCAGACGCCCCAGGGAGGACAGCACCGGGATGCAAGAGCCCCTGGAGTGCCCGCGGGACACACACTCAGATCCCACTGCAGTCACAGATGACGTTGGGCCCCAATGCCACCTGCCGCATGTAGCTGGGCGGGATGGAGCCGCTGCCAGCGCCCACCCTTCACGCACCTGCTCTCAGCGCTGCAACTGATGACAGTGGGCTCCGTGAAGACGAAGCGTGCGCGGGGGGTGGCGAGTGGCGGCCCTTGGCAGCCAGAGCTGGGATGCAAGAGTGCCTCGAGTCCCCGTGGGAGGCCCCGGGCCCGTGGTTCCGGCAAGCCCCCGCGTGCATCCAGGGTCGCTTGGTGGTCCCCCGGGGTCGCAGCAGACCGTCGCTGATGTTTGTGTTCCAATCCTCGGGGGTCGCAGCTAATCGCCGCTGCGATCTCTACTTGATGGTTGGTGCCCCCTATGATGGCCCCCCAGGGTCCCAGCAAGCCGCAGCTGCTGTGAAACTGCAGCGTGACCAGACAGCGGGGGGGTTGGACCGCGGGGGTCGCAGCTAATCGCCGCATGGGTCAGCATGATGAAAGAGCAGTGGAGGTGCCACTTTCCGCCTCCGCCACACGCGGCGCGACGCCCGCCTGGCCCCCAAGGAGAGAGGCGGGGGGAAGCCGCCCCTCCCCTCGGTAGGCACCGCGCCCGCGGGATAGGTGGCGCACCCGCCGAGCGGGAACTGTGCTTGCTGCCATTGCCAGCCCTTCGCGCGCACTCAGATCCCTCAGCTGTGAAAAACCACGTTGGGCCCCAGTGCCGCAGGTCGCGTTTTGCTGGGCAGCGACGGGCCTGCTGCCAGTGACCGCCCTCCTCGCGCCTGGCCCCCGCGCGCGCGATGCCACGAGGTGGGGCAGCAACGGCTACTGTGGGGAGACGGCCCGCCATTGTTTTTTGCCCCTCCTGGGTGCCTGGGTGTTCGGGTGGCCCTTTGCCGCGTGGTGATCCCTGCTCGCTCCGCCGCTTCGACACGGGTGCCGATGCCACAGCCAAATCCAATCGACGTCGAGGCCCAGCGCGTCGCTGACGACCCGTACGTCGCACTTGCGGCTGCGGGAGGATTCCAGGAAGAGGTGGCAGGTTTGCGGGTTGTGCCGAAACGGGTCGAGCGCGCCTTTGCTGCACGGTCTGCCGTTTGGCGAAAGCGTGCCTGGTGCCTGTGAACATTGTCCCCAGGGTGACTTGGAGCCGCCCCATCGCCTCGCCGGGTGTCTCCCCGGGGAGGTCCCACTGGATGATGTCGAT